CCCCCCCCCCTTTTTATGTCCACTACCCTCACTGACCCTGGTGACAAGTGGTCATTTGTGAGTCACAGTGTCTCTGGCCGTCCCTCTCTCTGTGGAGTCAGCAGGCAGAGAGAGATAAACTGACCTGGTATATATTTATAAAGGTATATTATACAGAATGGCTAATTTGGGCAGTCCTTTAATTAGAGACAGAGAGAGATGACCATTAACTTAATGATCATCCCTGTCTTTCCATCTAGCTCTGAATCCTCAGTGGTAACAAGAAGGAGAGATTGACTGCACTGAATATATTTGTATGTTAGATGGTAATTGGAGCTCTGAATCATCTCTCTCTCTCTCACTGTATGTGTACAAAGTCACATTGCCTGCTACTGATGAGAACAGTAAGACCAGGGACACTGGGCTGGGCACTTCTGGTTGTGGGGAAACAAGGGCCTCCCACACTTGACGTAGGGACTTATATTGAAAGATAAAACTGTCAAGTTTGAAGTGTCTGCTAAAGATTGGTGTGGTTTATCTGGTGTTCACAGGTGGGTGATGTTGGAGACGTCTGATATTGATATCTGCTAAAACTATAATAATGTTCAGCAAACATTTTGAGATTGAAATCTAACTGCCAAGCTGTTTATTTTATCAGCGATATATGATGGTGTACTAGTAGGTTGAAGTATTTGAAGTTAGCTGCTTTATGTAGTTATCTTTTTGATAGATGGTGCCAGGAGGTATTACAGTGAGATAACGGAAAATGTTGACAGATATGATTTGATGTCTGAAGATATCATAACAGCCAAAATTTATCTGGATAGCAAGAATGTTTTACAGTAGCTATATTTAACTTTTTTTGTATATTATTATCTTTAATGGTGATAATGTTGTTTTCTTTGATATAATGCACATGGGGGTTAGAGGACAGATCTGTCAATTTCCCTGAAAATTTTACTAGTCTTGGTTGGATTGAGAGAGAGAGAGAGAGAGAGAGAATAGTGTTACAGTGATGGTGTGTCCCCAGTGAAAGTGTAAAATTGAAAGTAAACAGCAATGAGTAAGTGCAAACTTGAGGGCACATGCTGCTACCACTCACATTTAAATAACGCTCCTGGCAATTACTAAACATGTTATTATAGTGATATGATGGTATCTGACGAAAGCACTGTCACCGATAAGTTGAGTAAGGAAATTGAAGTTTCAAGCACAGTAACTAAATTTGTGTCTATTAAATAGCACTCCTAGTGGTACATAGAATATTTTGGTGCAATGAGTGTCCTGAAACTAAACTCCAATAATGATGATGTGTATTTACACCATGATATTACTGTTAGGTACAGTAACGATTTAATGCCAAAGGTGCGCTGTCTCATAAATCGGGAGAGGGTTGGCCATGTTGTGGTTCATCCCTCATTGGTTTAGTTTAGATATATATTAAATATATATTAGTTTTAGAATGTGTCATTACATTTATAACAAGGACATGACTTGTACTTAAACAACCTGTTCTCAGTTATGATATAAAGTTTCAATATATATGTCAGAGGTGTGCTGACTGATAGGGATGGTGGGGAATGACCCAGATATATGTCAACTCTGTGTTATCATCGATTTGAAATATACACGTTAAAGGTAACTGTGTGAGAAGAGAAGGTATTTTTACAGCAGTAACTGTTAAAATGGACATGTTCACAATGGTAAAAGAAGTAGTCAAATATTCAGTAGTCAAATAATGAAATTGTCAAAAAAAATTGCTGTAAAATTTAAATGCTGCATCATGGCATCGATTTAGTTTTATAATTTACTAGCAGAATAACTTGATTTTATTCCGTTACTTTCATTTTGTTTAAAGGTAATGTTAAGTGTTCTTAATACAGAGACAAAAAATTAATGAATTACCACAGTGAACTCAATTTCAGATGTGTCCACAACGTGGTGATGAGCATTAGGTATATAAAGAACATGTTAGCTATTAGCACATATAATACATTAAGCATACAGTGGTGAAAGTTAAGGATATATTTTTGGGATTATAGCCATAAGCTGATTGTGAAAATTTTGTAAAGCTTTATATTTTTAACTTTCTTTTAACCTACAGTATCATATTTTTCCACAGGTCCAGGGAAGGTGCAAGGAAAGAACAAAATATGAAAAATTAAATCTCCAGAACGAGAAGACTATCTGAGTTATACAACTAAACTCATTTGCAGTTAAGATGCAAAACTGACTCAGAAGAAGAAAACCAAAGCCACATTTCTTAATTTTAAGCAATGAAAATGTATTAGTTCTCAGAAAGGAGGAGGAACTAAATTGTAATTACTTGATATCCAACGCATATCCAGGATGAGAAATTAATGCACCACCAGATTTAAGGACTAATATTAACAGTGCAGCATTTGTCTGTTGAAAATATATTATCAAAGATGGCTTCCACGATCAGCACGCCTTTGGGTCCCAATACCAGCGACCTGCCATATTTGTCGCAGTTGACCTCCCAGATGACCCCAGCACTGACAACGGTCAGTGAGGACCCTCCCCTGGTCGTCAATAGATGTGATATTGTCTACAAGTACGACGTAGCTCCAGCCACAATATGTGCTGTCTGTTTTGTGTTTGGGGTCCTGTATGCATTTCTAGGTAAGTTTTATCAATTTTTTCCTATTAATATTCGAAAAACTTGATTTGTTAAAACATACCACTTCGAAGGTCCATTTATTGAATTAAAAAGTACAAATTGTAACATGCTAGCACACATGAATATGTTTTACAGATATCATGGTGTATATTTTCAACTTTCAGGTTACCGTTTCTTCAAGGCCATCATGTTCATGACAGGCTTCATATTTGGCAGTGTATTAACATATGTTCTACTGGATGAGCACAGTCAGTTACCTACCGAGGCAAACGCTGGGATTGCCGTGGGTGTAGGGGTACTTCTTGGACTCATTACTATGCTAGTACAATATGTAGGACTCTTTGCGACAGGATTTACCTTCGGATTATTCCTCGCAACAATATTTCTAGTCATTTTAGAACTTTTTTACCATCCGTCCACAAAATGGATTAGTATTGGCGTTTTATTCATTCTGGGAGTGGTATTTGCTCTGTTAGCGCTAAAATTCCAAAAATCCATGACAGTTTTAGGGACTTCGTTATTTGGAGGCGCTCTGATGTTTATCTGCTTGGATTATTATGCGGAACTGTTCATCATGTCAATGCATATATTAAATGTCCTGAAGGTGGAGCCAGAAGCTCAAGACAGGCTCTGCTGGTTCAGCTGGGTTATTGCAGGCGTATGGCTGCTGATATTTGTGCTGGGTGTGGTGATACAGTGGAAGCTGACATCAAAGGGCTGTGATCACAGGGATGGTGAGTATCATGGTCAGGTATTAATGTTGTTTTAAGGGGCACAAATGAGATTTAAGCCTGATTTTTCAAAAAAAATCTCTAAGAGAGCATTCACATCGAGAAGAGCAGAGGTCTAGCAAGGCAGAGACCTAAAGATGACAGACCTACATGAAAGGAAGGCCACATAACCCTTTAATGGTCTCTCAATGACATTCTCTATGTGAATGCTCTCTAAGTATGGTTTTCACTTGTAGAGTTAGGTGATGACTTATCTAAAAATTCAGTGGTGAGAGGCAAGCTTGTGTGAAGAGAGAGAATGAGAGAGATAGACTGGATGAAAAGAGTGAGGATGATGAGAAGTGGAAAAGGGTTCTTTATTTCCTCTTAGGCTGTTTTATATATGGCGTGAGGAACACACACACACACACACTTCTCTTCTGAAGATCAAAGCAATTTCTGAAAAGTCAATCTCAGGCAGATAAAGACATTTAGTCAAACTACCAGTCACTTAGATGTCAAGTTATTTGTCTCATAGAGGCAGATTACATCAATTCCAGCTCTGATTGCCAAAGCTAAAATAGCCTTCATCTCCGGTGTCTCTCACCCCATTTAGTGAGAGTATGTTCACATAAAGCCTTGATGGATTGTGTCTGAAATGGTCTCAATGACAGGCAGTACGTACACAGCATGGCATATTGGAGATGGCTTTTAGCCTAGTGTGCATGCGTGTGTGTGTGTGTGTGAAAGAGAGAGAGAGAGAGAGAGAGTGCGAGAGAGAGAGAGAGAGATGAGTTACAGGGAGGGGACGCCATAGACAGCCTGTACTACTGCAATATTGATATCTGACAATAAATCATAAGGACCACTGGGTCGAGCTGTCTCTAGATCAAGGAGATGTGTGAATATGGCCAAAGTCTCGCCCACTGCCTTATGAAAAACATTTTAGTCAATACATTAAATCTGCCCGGACAGTTTTTGAGGGAAATGTTAACTTGGGACGTAAATGTCAATTTTAAGAGGGTTTTGATAGTAAATGCTATCTTTCATCTGTTATGTCATGTGTGAAGACACTAGCTGTGTAAGTTGGTTAAAATAGCACAGGAGATTTTTGATAAATGCCATTTTCATTTGCATACTTCTATGTATCTAGTGGCATGGGTACTGTGGAACAGAGAGATTTTTTTTTTTTTTTTTTTTTTTTTTTTTTTTTTTGGTATTGAAAGGAATATTGCAATGTTTTTGAACTTGCTTATTTGAATTTTACATTTTAAAATGCAATCAATTATAATGATAAAAGTTGAGAAAAATGTTTTAGTGTAAACTGCATATCAGTGACATATATTTTAATTGTGGAAGGAGATACAAGGCAGTAACAGTGAAGTGCATAGGAATAAACTGATCTTATACACAATTACAGTTATTACTTGTTGAGCAAAGAGGCTCTCATAAGAAAATTGATCATGCCCATTAATTATTACAGTGAAAATAAGATCGAAGAAACATCGGAAAGTAAACCTCCAAAAGATTCGATCTAGGGAAAAAGAATACCGCTCTGAGGAAGATCCCAACACCAGGTACCGCCACTTGTACCAGATACGACGCAGCAATGGGGATGTTATATCTCGGGTAAGTTGTCTGAAACAAATACAAATTTTAAAGGTGCTAAATTTGTCTTACATCTTTTCAGGATAGGACTAAGCAAAGAAATATTTACTACTTAGTCCTTTTTTTTTTTTCTTACAGTACGAGATGATTTAATTGTTCGTATTTCTTTGTGAGGATAATAAGGGTGATGCATGTCTGTATAAGATACGGAACACTTCAGGTTTTTTAATGTGTTGGTGGAACCTGTGAGAAATTATGTAAACTATGGTCACTGAAAATTCCTCTCCCATTTACACATTTTTATCTTTCTTTCCAGAGCATTATAGATCACATCCACCCAAAAATGTCTCCCACAACACACAAACTGTCCAGTGATGATGACCATCCGCCATATGGAGTGACCAACCTTGAACTGACCAATAAGTCGGAACAAGATCGTCCTTTCGGGATGACCCCTGACATTGAGAGTGCCAATACCACACTGACACAGGTGGCTCCTGAAGGTCAAAGTTGAAAGGTCACAATGATGTCAGGTTGAAAGTTGACCAATAAGTAAACTTCACTGTGTCAATAATAGGGTCAAAGATGAAGGTTCATGGCAGATGTCATGTGATTTTGATGTGACCAATCAGGGATGAGTCAAAGATTGCTGTGTTCGCACTGAGCTGTATTGGGGGAATATTGCCATCAGGGAAGAAGTATTTCCCTGCAATCCATGTACCCCAGACCCAACTGACCTTGAATTGCACAGTTGATGGTAAACATGTATGGGGCAATGTCCATTTCTTCTAAAGGAGGCAATTCCTTCTTGATTATGTTCTCATGCAGACATCCAGACTTTACGAAAGGCCAAAAAATCTGTCAGACATTCGGTCTGACAAGCTTGAAAATTCTGTCAGACCGAAACAAAATCTGTCAGACCAAAGTAAAATAATAGAAATATGAACCATTATTCATCTTTTCATGTGTATTTTCTAACGTTTTAAATCATTGACATTAAATCAATTATTAAATTTTTGATATATATTTATTTGTAAAAAAAAGTAAAACAAGAAAGAAAAAAAATAGGCAAAAAATTGTTTGCATAACAAGTTGCTTTTTATTTAATGAAAAAGACGCTGTGGAATGACACAAGGACTAAAAACTATACAAGTATGAAGAATGTGTAGCTAGTAATATCAAATGTATGTCCATAAAAACGTCTGTTAATCAGATAACCATTTCACACATTGTTTTTGGCAATAACATATGCATTTTGAAACAGCACACTGCCACAGTAAGGCAGTCTCTTTCATCCAATTGAAGCTTTGACAGGGACTGTCCGGTCCGAGTCTAAGTTTATTCTTCATTTTATTTCTTTTTTTATAAAAAGAAACTCAAACTGTGAGCTTTTATCAAGTTCATGTGCACTTTCTCCAACTAGTGGTGAACGGTACATGCAAATACGTACATATCTTCCATAATTTAAGAACCCGTAATAAAGCTGTAACATTTATGTTGCTATTGATCAAAATGATAACTTTAGTACTCCTGACACTCGGCACACACTATTTTCCTCTCCTACAGATCATAAGTTCGCCAGGGCCTACCTTCTTTCCAATTTTATTAAACTTCCGTTTCTCTTCCTCACTTCGTTTTCATTTTGCCACGCTTTGCACCAACGCAGTGTTTCAAGTTCAACAACGTCATTTCTAAGCAAAAGGCTTATCCATGAGTACTGTGTACGACTGATAATGTAGAAACAGAGGATCAAGTATGTAAAAACGCAAATAGCACGAGCACATGTGTTGCGGCCATTTTGTTGTGTAGGGGTATTACAAAAACGAAAACGAGACTGTACATTACATCATTCAGGAATCCCCCAACCTCAGCCAGTCACAAAATAGTATTTGTGTGTGAAACTGAGGTTAATAAATTATGTATAATTAGTTGGGAACTCCCCGAGATTTTCACCCCGTCTCTCTTTTTGAATGAAGTAAAATATATCGTCCAGAAAAGAAACAACAACGTATTCCTTATATTTACACATTCCCAGTCAGTTTGAAAACTCGCCGGACATAAGGTCCGACGATACAGGATTTTTTATCGGACCGAGACGAAATTTGCCAGGCATGTCCGACGGTCCGACGCCTTTCGTAAAGTCTGGACATCAGTTTGAAAGTCAAGCAGAGGAATCTTGGAATGATTCAGATGAAATTGAGGCAAGAGCCAAAAAGCATATACATCAAAGAGAGACCAGTCAAAACCACATGTACTTCTTGTGTGGTTTTCATTTGATATAATGTGAACACAACTGGTTATATGAAGCAAAAACTGAACTAGAATGAAAGCGAACGGCAATAAAAGTTGACTTCAAGGAATACCCAGTCACAGACATGTTCATTTTCTAAAATAAACAAGTGAAACTTGTCACAGAAGAAAATGGGTCATTTGATGTCAAACAACAATGAAATATGAGAAACTGCGGGCATTCAAAATGTCCAGTCAAAGGCAAATACTAACAGAACTGAGAGATGATATCTTGTCACAGGGAGAGCTAATCTAGTCAGAGACCATGTTCCAGTGAAATTCCTCCCACAGTGCAGAGAGCTTTTCATATAAACGCTCAATTGAAATGGCTCTTGATTCCTATTACTGTGTGATGAAAAGGGGCAAAAGAACATGGAGAAATGGAGAGGTATTTCCCAATTAACTGACTTATTGATTTGCTGCTAGCCATGCCTTTCTCCAAGTGAATTCATACAAACACACAAACCCTTAATATGGTGGTCTTAGAATAAAAAAGGGCTAGAAATATATAACGTATTGGACTTCTCATCACATATTGTATGTAGTGTGTTCATAAAACCACTTTGAGATGTTTTTAGTCATATTTTCATTGATTTGATAATTATTTAATACCTTTGGTTTTAAATTAGCTTAAGTATAGCTACTTGCAATGAATGAAACCAGGATAATATGAATAGAAAACATGTCAGTCTTTGGAATTAGATTGTGCTGGATGAAAAGTGGTTTGAAAGAAAATTACAAGTCTTTGTTGACTTATTGACTTGGTATTTACTGTGATTCAAGAAGATAAAGGGATTCCATCCATATATTGACTAAGTAGAAATAAGTAGATGTCACAAGTATTTAGGTGGTGAGAAACTGCGGTGATAAATGAATATGAGCTCAGTATTTGAAAGGAGAGCGAGAGAATGAATAAGATTGAGTCTTGTGAAAGTATTTGTAGATTTTTTTTTTTTTTTTTTTTTTTCATTGGCACTTTTTGCAGGGTTGAATAATGGAGTTGAAACTGAAAAGTGTATCATTCTGGGACATTGACTTCATTGTATAAAATCTCTGAACACATGAAATGTTGGCAAAAATAACTTGCTGTCAAATGGAAGTAGTTTGTTGGTGACACAACAGCCACACAATATTATTGACATGCACTCTGTGTCTGGGCTTAAATTGCCAAAGCTTTTACAGGAAATACCAGCTTTGCCAATACTTAATGTGAAGCAATTCTTAATGGAAATGGTTTAACGTTGGCTTGGGCCATGTTAACAAGGGTCAGTATCGATGTGCCACAGAAACACATGCCAGGTATTGATGAATTTGAAAGAGGGTTTACACTGACACTTGGACTGGAGCTGTACACGGACCAGGTGTGCTGTATATCTCAGTATTTAGAAAGTAGTGCTGAACTGATAACGAATAGAATGTCATTATGTGGAAGTTAACTGTGTCAGGTGTTATTGGACTCTGTGTATGGTCACTCTCGGGCACTAAATCTGAACAAAGCTGATTGTAATTTTCTTTCCCCAAAACTTTATTTGAAGTAGTACCTTGATATAAGGAGACATTTGGAAAATCTGAAAAGAGATTTGGGCGCATGCCATAAACTGTGCATTTGTGTGTAATTTAAAATGATGATCCTGAAAGAAAAAAATATCAGAATAAGCGAGATATGTACAATTTGCAAGCAGTACTGTTGCAGAAACAATGTACCTTCAGTGAGAAAAGAACCCATACTTGAAATGGGTAGTTGCTGAACTGTGCAGAGGAAACTATACATTTTTATAACTGAATCTGTAAATTGTTCTCTTTATGGCATACATCTGATCCAAGACTTAGGGCGTATTCCCAGACATTTAGATCGATCTATCCCCGTAGGGAGTCTCACTAGAGTACTGTCAGATAATCCGGCTTAAATGTCTGTCCCACCTACTACAATCTGTAAGGGGGTAATTAACTTTCGTGCCTGCTCGGCTGACAGCTATTTAGCGTGAACCCCCAGGGAATTAGGTCGATCTAGTTTGGATCGATCTAATCTCAGGGAATGGGGTCTTAATCTTCTTTATAACGATTACAGCAATTTACCCAGACTAGTTAAATTTATAAGAAAAGATCCTCTTCCAAATATTAATGCTCATTCAATAAAAGAGAAGCTTACTGGTTTTAACACAGTTGTTTAGGTTTTTTAGTGGATTTTGTTTAAAATATCAGTATTTTCATGTTTTGATCTCATTTTATAAGTGAACATTTTAGTATCAATAAGATAATTTTCATTTGTACTTGAATTGATCAGTCTGAATGTTTTATGATTTCATGTATTTTAAGGGGTTGGAAGAAAGATTTTAGATACACTCATAGTCTGGTTAATGATAACAAATTACAAGCTGGAACAATACTATATAAAGATTGACAGCTTATGAAACCTGATGAAACCAGGTGAACTTACATCTGTTTATACGATGCATTTGAATGGCTGTACAAGTTTTATGATTTTTCTTAGTATTGTATATAAAATGAATTCCCAGGAAAGTACAATTGGAAGAGAAAGCAGTGGAGTGGCATTGGAAGATGTATATATTGTTCTTTTTAGTCATTATTGTGCAAATACAGTTAAACTGTATCTCATTGTGTAGTTTGACTTACAGTCCACGCCTTAACTCACTGCATCAGTGCTTAAAGTCATTTTTTTACATTGAATAAATGTATTAAGAGAGATAATGTGCTGTTTTTGTGATGTCCAAAATTTTAAAAAAGACATTGCTACAGCTATGTCTAATAAATTTGTAATTACACTGCGGCCTGTTAATAATACAATACATTTCCTAGTAGACTTTCATAAAAATATATTTTATCACAATTATAGTAATTTACTTGAAAATAAGAAATACAAACATCTGAAACAGTATAATAGTTTTTGCTTCCATTTTTTTGTTTGTTTTTTTTTTTTTTTTTGTTTTTTTTTACCTACAGTGTCTGCACTTTGGCACCAAAACTAAGTAATGTGGAATTTTCTAAGTGCCAGAATTGAAAACTTGGCTGTATCAGTTGTTCTTGTGACAGTGTCAAGGAGGAATGTGTTAGGTGTGCCAAGGTTTATTTTGCATTTCCTCTAACACAATCACAACATATGTTCACATGTGCTTTACTTGTTGCAATCGGCATTTTAAAAACATGATTTGAAATACTCTTTATTAATTCATTTTCTATGCTGGCACATGATTTCAAATTCTATGCTGGTAAACTGTGTAAAACTAAACAAGATCCTATTCATTTTTAAGTATCATACTGCTTTCCAGGTACTTTCCTTGCATGTTTTAACCTTCCCTTTGATTGCTATTTCCTTCAACAGTCAAGTTTTTTTTTTTTTTTTTTTTTTTTTTTTTGTAGAAACATTTAGTATTTAAACATTCTTAATTTTTTATAAATGGATCTAATGAAAAAAGACATAACATTAAATTTTCTTGATGTAGATCTTTGTAATGTGAAATCCAAAACCCCAGGAGCATTCAATTTTGAAATTAATGGGTTTCAAAGCCCCCCCCCCCCCCCCTTTATTTCTTTGGCATACATATAGTCAGCTTTTCTTCAGTGTATCACTTACTGTGCATGTGCTCTATTAATTCTAGTTTGTTTGACCTAGTTACCTCAATATATCATTAGTTAAACAGAGAGATTAACAAAGACAACTAGCAAATTATACTCAGTGTCGTGTGCTGCCAACCATTAAGTATAGTAGTGTGTCATGGCATAAAACACAATGGCATTGCGTGTGCTTTCATCCACAAGGCATCCTTTCATCTCAGTATCACATGTTCAAAGGAGGATCTTATCAATGATTTAATTATATGTCTATATCTTGATTCACCTAGCTACAATATCACTTCTTTCATGGTAAGTCTACTTTTTTGCTTTTTTTACTGTCACAATGGTGTAACCATATATTTCAGCATTTCTCAATTTGTCTTGATGTTAACGTGAACTTAATATCGAATAATGCAATGATTTCTGAATCAATGACTATCTAAATTTTAGCAAATTTTCTACATATAATTATTGGATGTAACAAACGGCCATATCATGGAAAACCTTTGAAGTAATAATAAACAATTCATGACAGTAAACATCATTAAATTTATTAGTCATAAACAAGTTGAATAATAAAACTGACTTTCATGTATTGACAATATATAAACAGTTTATCTACTTCCAGCTTACAAAGCACAAGATTTTCACTGCCTGTATATACTATTATTTCTTTATACCTCAATGTACTACACCCTCTTAACTAAATTCATTTTCTTATTTTCATTTCTTATCTTTTTCCTAATATCGTTCAGTTAATTCCCAGTTTTCTCCATAATTGTGTATACTTTCAATTCCTTAGACTAGATACACAAACTCTCTTTTGCACAAATTCCTAATAAAGGCCAAAGAGCTTCAGATAAACACAATATAAATTGCTAAATATTCATGGCCATCATTTTCCCATTAAGTTCATCAAAGTTTCCTCAAGTCTGAGCACCTCAGCATGCAAATAATGTAAACTAGGTACTTGGATACCTTCACGGTCTACTGAGGTGGATAAACTGCTGCTGTCTGAGACTGCAGACACTATTGCTGGTTTCAATTTGTCTTTTTTATGTCTACAATCACAGGCACCGCTGCTACTGCTATTTTGGTCCCTGCAACAGTCAGTATTTCGACTGATGTCACAATCACAAGATTGACAGTGTATGTTAATTTCATTATCTTCTTCAGGTTTATTCACAATATTTGTCTGAAGTAGCTCTTTTCCAGAGCTTCCAGAAGTAACTTTGTGTTTTTTCTCAAAGTCAGTATTTTCACCCACAGTTCTCATTTCTAAATCAATAACTAAATCAGATTCTTTAGGACAGGTCTCTGTTATAATATCATTATCATGCCCAGATTGCCTACAATCAGCTGAAGTAAGTGTTCTGAGATTTTCTTTGACTTCTCTCTCTAGTTCTGTGACTTCTTCAAGTAAAGACTTAGCAGCAGCCATCCTCTCTGTGTCCTGAATGTGTGGGGTTTCCTCCCCTCCCTGGAGCATGGTGTAGGAAATCAGTGCACTGGGAAATTAGAAGCCATGACATCGTGTTACAACAAAGATATAATATGAATTAATAACCAAAAAGTAACTTATGTAACATTGTAAGTTATATTTGTCACCTACATCTTACAAAGTTAGAAAACCTAGTATTAAATGATAAATAAATGTTGTTCTGAATAAATTATGATAATTTATATCATATGGTTTTAAAATTATCATATATACAATTTGTATATATTTATATTTTTTATTTATTGCCTGCTATGTAATCATAATATTAAATATGAAAATTCTCAGACACAAGCCTAAAATTTTCCGTACCGTTAGCTTACTGCCAACCTGGTCGAAGGCCTTCATCAGACTGCCACAGTATCGATTGGAATTCAACTAAGATTCTTGAATCTGAATCATCCGACATCCCTCGAAAAATATGAGAGGCTATCAACATCAGCCGACACCAGCCACCCATGAATAGGGACGGGGGGGTTGATCTACCTGACATTTATAAGAGGGTCCTGGCCGCTATACCACCTAGCGGTCAGTGAGTGTGAACAACTACTCACGCCAGTCTGATGAAGGCCTTCGACCAGGTTGGCCGTAAGTTAACAGTACGGAAAATTTTAGGCTTGTGTCTGAGATATTTATCCAACAACCAAGCTAATGAACATTTTTGCTTAATCATAATATTATTTCATTGTGTTTAGTATTAAAAACTAATTAAGAACTGCATGAGTTGTAACCACAAACCAAATACTTTGCTTAGGACTTGGTTTATTACAGATAGAGACATAAAAATACAGATTTCCTCACTACTGGCACTAATATATCAAAGGCATTCTAGTATATTTCAAAGTCAAATAAGAATCATTTGCAAAACCAATTGCAAGCCTGCAGCGACACTCATTTCACCATTAGAGAGAAATGACACCCACTGCAATACATCAGATTGTTGCTTTATTTCTTGCTAAGTCCAGTATGAGATTTTTTTTCTCTTATGTGAAAATTGTCAATTCTTAGTAAGCCCAATGGTATTACACTAGGTCATCCATTGTCTTATTCTCTTGCTTTGAAAAAATCAGAAATTTTCTCTACTTCAGTCTGTTCCAAGAACTTTAAGTCTATCGGACCTATAGGCCACAGCTATCAGAGACAGTGCTCACTTTTGAATATATATAAAGTACAAAATTCCACTGGTACAGCTTCACTTTCACTGGCATTTGGCATGTGGCTGGTACTAATACAAACGTATAGAATGTGAAATAAATGGAACATACCACAAAGATCCTCTTAACTTTGCTACTTGGAAAACCATGTCCACAGCATCCTCATAGCCTTGGTTAAAACCACTCTGTAGCTGAGATTCTTTGCCTTCTTCTAACCCCTCACGATATCCATCCTGAAAAACACAGTTTTCTGTTAAACTGACTTACCCTAGATGTCCATGCTTAACAATTTCAAATTATCTTTTTCCAGTATTTTTGGCAAGCAAGCCTAGAAAACATTTTTCTATGCTATTACTTTAATCACATTGTGCTCTTAATTATTAAAATCAAATTAATTAATTATATTTAAAATAAACAATGTCTTACTGTAGGTTGTTTGACATTTATATATAATATGAAATTCGCCATTATCAAGATTTGGTTTAGATATTGAACAGTCTTCTAACATCTTTATGATTCATTTTATGACATCGTATTGGATACTAAAGTTGTAAAGAGCTAATCAAAACCCAAAGACTGCATCTTTGACTTTTGTGTCACAAGTATTATTTCCGAAAGACCCCATCACACCGCAGCGTCTGTTTAAAATGTTATTATCATTATTATCATATAACAAATTTACATTAACAACTTGCGTTACATTGTACTGGCACAGCTGTAGTACAATTTTACCTACTTTTACTCTGTTTCTGCGCAAATTCTGCCACTCTTTCTCGCTCAAAAGAATATCATCGGCATCTTCGTCAAATATGTCATCTGTATGATTCGAATGAGCCATGATCGGATGAAAAATCACCCTAAAACACTGGAAAATATAGCAACCAGGTGGATTCAATGCACATGGTTCGAGTAAAACGTATCCGCCATTTTGAAAGCACCTGTGATCATGTGACAGGGTTTTGAGGTCATGTGACCAGGGTGGGATATTTGATGAATGAAGTCCGTTGTCGCTACACCTCGCTACAGCAACATTTTTATTTCACAAAGGAACGATCTGAAGGTAAATAACTCTTTATTAAGATAATTTCTCTCAAAGAAACTACAAATGATGCATAAATTAATATTTTTTCAACGTTGGCGTAAGTTTTTGAGAAGCAATTCACAGGTGGTGGCTTTCAAGTTTCAGGCAGCAGTTGTCAACTTCCGATCAACGACATAACTCGTCGTAAATTTCAGAGACATAATTAGGTCACCGTTTTAAATGCACTGTGCAGGACTAGGTCATTGCCATATGTTAATTTAATTAACAAGTCAAAATATTCAATTAAAAATGGAATAAAGTTCTTTTAAAAATTAAGTTTTATTTCATAAACTTAAATAAAAGAATCCGTTAAAATTTTGGTTCATTCCACGGTGATTCTCCCCCCCCCCCCCCCCTGCACTGGCAGTACCTGGCTGTAGCGTTGCCACATTACATTTAGGCTTACTAGTTATATTCAAGTCAGATTTTTTTAAATCAGAGATCTATCTTGATCATACTATACATTTATTACATGGGTTTGTTGACAAGTAGCTGTGCCTGAGACTGAAAGTTGTGGTTGATGGCTATTCGTGATCTTACCATCAAGGCAGGCCTTCGTTGTGGCTGGAACAGAGATAGATGAACTTCACCTGATGTTACTCTGCCAAATAAATCACACCTACTCCTCCCACTTGTGAAGTTCCCATTTGTTTACTAGTGGTACTTTGACTGAGTGCTTTTAGGGTGTTCTTATTCTAAGGCTGTAAGCATACTGCTAGTAGTCTACTAGTACTAGTTAGTCATTTATAGAGTCACATTACCCCTCCCACTTTTTCTCCAAAGCCCCATAAACACCATAACCGCATCCTTGGAATCACTATTGTAGTCAACATACCAAGTGGATAAGTATATATTTATAAAGGTTTGCAGTCAGTCTGGAAATGAACCTGACATTTAATTCCTTCTCCTTAATTTAAGCACACACACACATCCACATACACTACTACCCTCTACTATCAGTGTGGAAACTTTTAATTCTCAGCATTGATCCTATCATAAGATTTAACACAGCAGTATATGTGAGCCACCAGCCCAAGACATGAGTTTGCTGCATAATGTAGAAATGCTATTCTTTACCACCTCATTATGCTAGCTGTGCACCAGGTGTGGGTCGTGAATTGGACTGTGTCTTGTGGGACTGGAAAGTTAATGTTATATGTACATGCAAGCTATTTAAGAACCAGCCTATCTGTCACTCATTTAATGGACGTAATTTTATCAGTTTTATGTCTGTTCTAGCCAGGGAGCAGAACATATTAAGTTTTAGTCAAACCAGGGGTTCATTTGCAAATTTATACCATTACATTGCGATACTGAATGGCATTAAGATTTAAGTGTGTAAGCTTAAATTGTATCATGATTGTCAAATGATTTATAACTGTTCTTGTTCACATCTGTTCATCGAAAGTCTTAATACTAGTATATCTCATCCACACACTGCCACTCTGTAAGCCATTGTATTGGACAAAAATGAATGTGGACTACTAGTATTCTGTTTGTGGCAATTTACAGTACAGTACTAGTATTCGGTTTATATTCAATTTGGTTATAACAGTAAATTTACATGAAAATAAATGTTCTTTTTGTCCCCTCCACACATACACATGCACACATGCACTGGTACACATACAAGCACACTCACAAACATGCACACACTCCTGCACACACACATACACACACACACACTTTCATGCACACATGCATAGTATAGAATATATTCCTCCCCATCCCCATCCAAACAATAATAAATAAATGTAAAATCATTGATTGGTCACTGCAGAACTTACTTAAAGCACTAATTAACTTAGAACCAAGGCAAAGTCTATATTTCTGGTGTTATTGGGTCTCATCATAGCAGCTGGCTTGTCTATTGCCTACTACAGCATGACTCATTCTGTGGCTGTGGAGTATATATGTTCAATCCTCATGATTAATTAATATTAATTTGCAGTTGTCATTGGTGTACTAGTAAATGAAAGCGGGTGTTTTACTTTGATTTACTGCATAGTAAGCACAGTTGTCCTGTGTCTATTTATGTAAGATACTCTTCTACATGCATTGCCGACCCAGTCTGGTATAGTAGATTCATTCAAAACAAAGAAACAAACAATATTAGAAATAACAAAAAATAAATAAATAAATAAAATTTAATAATACTTAGGGTAAATTGGACTTTAAAACACTGATTTTAAAATAGGCAATATTTATTAATTTAAAAACTGAATGGTGGATATTTGTTTTCAGTTATGTCTGAGCATTTCAGCATCTGATTCCTTTTTTTTTTTTTTTTTTTTTTTTTTTTTTTTTTTTTTTTTTTTTTTTTTTTTTTTTTTTTGTAAGAGGGAGGTACATCCTGGTTTGTTCAAACATTAGTAGACTATTTATTTGTTGCTATCAGTCTTAATGCCAAATGCAGCAGTCTTAGACATTTTATAAAAGGATATAAATAGTGAACTGAAAATAACTACAGACTTTATGCTGGGTCATAAGAATTATATAAGAATTTATAACTGTGACAGAGAACCAGACTTCACAGACTACATATAAGTACTAGTATGTGCAATAATGTGATACCTGGTAACTTTTTGAAGTCATGAATTAAAGGGTAATAGAGGACATGGTAGTTGTATTGAAACAGGACTGGGCCCCGTAACTCGTAATCATCGCGTATTACGAATAGCAATATCCCATAGAGGCTACATTGTATTATATGGGGCGAGTATCGGCGAGTTATGGAATTGAGACGCTTGAGCTCGGTCGAGTTACAGGGCCCTGGTGTTAATTATTGTGATAGTGGTCAATAGGTGTCTCCAAGTTAGAGTTTCAAGCTCATGAAAGTAGAAGAAAGAAAATGAAAAAAGATGAAAGAAGCATCATCTTCTCAATTACGCACTTGTTAGGCTTCTTTCAGTTAACTAGTATTCAAGGAGACGTGACTTCTAAATATGGACATGTATGTGCAAGCAGATGGAAATTATACACAACTGAACATAGAGGTATGCACAGTAAAAATCACCTCAGTTGTGTTGTTACAGATTGTCCTTTGTCAACATTACATTCCTTGCTTACTTGCACAATAGTGGCCATCATTCACAAAACTGCCCTACATTGTTGCACTATCAACCAGGCAAAATTTCAATTGTCCACAGCGTATAGAAAACTTGCATAGAGCATAAACCAAGATCAGCAGAAAGATAAAGTGGTAAATAAAGGTGATATCAGCTTGGGAGCAATGCTGTATGGGTTGGTGAAGTATTGATAGTTGTTAAATAGAGCACCGCGTGAAGTGAATCGCCCAGTTCACAGAAAGATATTTATAGCTCAGAACTGGTTATCGTTGGAAAGAATGGTAAGATAAATCAATTCTTCGTATTCTGTCGACGCTTAAGTATCTATTGCAAGGGTCTGTGTGGGTATAGATATTTGAAGGCATTCTTTATCAGGTAGAGGTTTGAATGTTTTTCATTTAGGACCTGGTTTAAAGTAGGTGCAAGGGAGGAGTTTTTTGGTGACAGTTTGGTCCACCTTATTGACAACCTGGACTGACCAGTCATGCCTTGGACAAGGAGCAGAGGAAGCAGTTGACCACTAGCCAGTGCTTTGCCAAATTCGCCAAGTATGGGCCATTTATTTTAAGGTTTTTAAAAGACCCACCTATCCACTCCCAATGCAGGGAGGAGGGTGTGTCTGCACCTCTATGGTGTATTTATTTCAAGAAACCGTTTAAAAGAATGGTCAGATATTTCTAAGAAATATTATCCTAAATTCTGTATTATTGTGTGGCATGTCTTCAGAATTATAATATATTTACACAATGATGCTGACTTAGATGTTGTCAAAGGGGGTTGTTAGATTTAAATGAAAAAGAAACTTCAATTTATCTGTTCGAAGAAGCAAAATGGAAGAGAAAAGGGATGGAGGTTAAAAAGTGTGTCAAAGTGGAGAATGCGTCTAAGACCTGGTGTTGGTAAAAGTTTTAACTCCATCAGTTAATTTACTGTATGTACATGAACCAGTGGAGAAGTCTGCCAAGTTTGCAGTCTAGAGTCTACAGCTGTGACGGTGGTGTCAGGTGTGTTTCCAGGGGCGCGTTTCCACAAAATAAATAAACCTCAAGACAGAAGTGAAAGATGGTCTTATCTTTAACACTAACATTTTTGCCTACATGTACCTAAGATGAATATACAGCCATCTATTAGATTATTATAAATAACTGCACTATTTATAGCAAGGACAAAATGGCTTGTGTTTTCTAAAAGCAGGCAGTATTTATTTTACTTTAATGAACTGCCATGGATTTTTCTGATTCGTAATAGAAAAAAAATCCACTGTTCAAGTTTAGACTGGCTTAAAACCTAAAGTCATTTCATGAAGCCTATTCCAGACAATTTTAGGCATGTGACCAAGGTGACATTGTGCAGTCACGTAGATAGCATGCAATTTGCCCATGGATCAGTTATGCAGTATGATATGATGGGAATTGCGTTAATTATTTATTTACAGTTTGTATTTCACACAGGCATGCCAAAATAAGCAAACGCCCTTTTTTCTTCCCATGTGCCTTACTCCAATCCAGGGATCAGTTTCTGTGGATTTTTTACTGTAGATACAATTTCTAACTCTCAATAAAAATGACTGTGTCAGTAGACCAGAAGTGAGAGTATGTAAGTAAGAAATTGAAGAGAATAAAGGATTCTGTATTCAGTGTACATTTGCCTCCTCTTCAGTTAAAGCCGGAAACTGCATATGCAGTGCATGTGATAGGTATTCCCCTTCAAGTCCATTTTGTTGAATGAAGTCTGTGCGCACAGAGAAACTTCTCAACTTAGTAAATTTAACCACAATAGAAATTGAAGTAGCCAGTCAATATTTGCTGCCTACTGTATGAATAAACATCAGTTTGGTAGCTCCCTTACGGAGTAGTCTCCAACTGCCATTGATCATGCTTTTATGTTAGATGTTGTGTGTTAACCTTTAATTGGATTTATTGATTTGATTTACTTATTGCTTTTGTTGTTTCCTCTGTTATTTATTGCCTCTACAAAGTCAATTGATATACGCCTCTGATCCCTTTGTTCCCAGGTTTCTGAAGTAACATTTGTTGTGTGCTTGGGGATATCTCTAATTAAGAAAAGTCTCGTTTATAAATTGTCTTAATTAGCTTTTGGATGTCTGCATCAGACTGTAGGAAATCAAGGTTGTAAAGGGGTTATTATTGTGATAATGGCAGACAATTACTATTTCTATAAATAGGAAATATGTACATTTTATCAGAGTTAGTGCCTGGATATTATTTACAACTCATTGGTGTGTCAGATTCATTTGCAGTCAATGGCCACATTCATACTTACTAGTTGATCTGCAGATAAATTTTGGTTAAAATGCAGCTAATTATCCACTAAGAAATGTCAGCTCTCTTTAATGGCAGTATTAGCTATAGTAATGTGGTAGTACTAGTAAGAGAGCAATCAGAATGTTTGCTTCTGTGGCGCAACAAACTGTCTTAATAGGGAGCATTCAAAAAAATAGGGAGCATTAAAAAAAAAGTTGATCTGTAAGACTGCGGATCAACTTTGGTTGTGAATGCGGCCATAGACTCACTCCCAGTGTGGACATGCCCCATATAGAGCCTCTGGGGGTAAAATTAATCTAAAAACCAAAAGTTGAAACAAAGGTGAAAATATAAGTTTAATGAGTTTTAGGGGTGTTGGCATTCATCCTGTACAGTGCAAAGTGTGATTTAATGTTTTAATTTGCTATGACTGGTATTGTAAAGGTCTTTGTTCTGCAGGAGAACTGCATGTAAAATACCACACCACCTGTTTGCCCTGTTTAGAAAAGCACCTTAAATGTGGTAGTTTCTTGTAATTAGCAATTAAGGAAACAAACGTGCCTTAAATTTGGGATAAAAAATTATATTTTACAAGTCTTTTCACTATAGGGGTGGACATTTTAAGTTTGAGATGTTTTGAATTAAGTGCACACAAAAGCACTGAGACTCTCTCTCTCTCTCTCTCTCTCTCTCTCTCTCTCTCAACTACCTAACATATATGATAATTCCCATATTTCACTCATCCCATAATTGCAGGTATATCTATGTAAATGATAGTAGTTATACCCTTCCTTGTCTGAAAAGTCATTATAAATGTCCCCAGTCCACATTAAATGTGATAAGAACTTAATGAAAGGGCATGTGATGTTAATACAAATCATGTGACATTTAAGGCAAATTTACATAATATTATAAAGTACTTAGTGTATTTTCTCCCATTAGTGTGCACTTGGTTAAATGTCATTACGGTTATAGCATTGCTAGAATACTAAGATGAAATTAAATGGTAAAAAATACATTTCAGTCATGATATGAACCAATTGTTGTTCACTTATATTTGGTTGATATATATATATATATATACAAAAGTACTTCAGAATTCTTATCAAAAAAAAGTATAACTTCCATATATTTCTTTTCTAATTTCAGATATTATCCTAGAACTGGTTTTCATTCGAAGAAAGGTGAGTTGGATGTATATATAAATTTCCAGTTTGTTTTATGAATGAAAAAAAGTGACGTGCCATCTAAGGAAAACTACTGCTTTTTCACTCTGTACACTCTTTCTAGTTCACCTTCTTGAGGTACTCCCCCCCTCCCCCCCCCCCAATCACCACCACCACCCACCCCAGGAAAAAAAATAATAAACTACAATCGAATAGCAGTTGTCCCATTTAGTTTGTCAGCCTAGAAGCCTTTTAGAATGGGAAGTAGATGAATAGTCAAATAAATAAAAATTTTATGTTGAATTCTATTTTGGTTCCTGAAATTAATATTAAAAATATACCTTTTTATAATGGTATTTCAGAGTCAGTATATCAGATTTTGCTGTTGCAGTATATAATAGTAATATACTGGATGCTCATATATCATCTTCACAATATCCTGATTCAATAACTTGCATGCGACATGATTATTGCATTCCACAGATTATGCCAAATTATGTCTGCCTTTAATATGCCTGAGGCTCATTTTTCTGTGACTCATAGCTAATACTTGTAAGGTGCATTTATATTTAAATTGGACTGGCTTAAACTTATTTGTATTATCTCGGTCTTTTAAACAGATGTATGTGTTAAGGTTTTCCTTCTTTTGGCCCACCAACTACTGTAAAGGTAAGACTTGCTTGAGATTTGCTTCCTGTGGTTGGAAGGCATATTCATGCAGTTTGTCAAGAAAGGATTTACTTACTAGTAGTTGGTCAAAACTTGACTGGAAACACAGCCATCCAGTGGTCCAGTAGCCACAGTGGATAGTTTTTGCCCAGCCTGTTTTAAGTAAACTTTGACTGTCATTGCTTGGAGCAGAGATACCCAGTTTCCAGTGTTGAATCCAGGTAGTCTAGAGTATACCTTGTATCTGAAGCTTAAGCATCAGTCAACTTTGCCCCAGCCTTTTTTTTTCTTCTCCTTTCTTTCAGGACTGCAGTTTACAAACTTTAAGGCTGAACCATGTGGTGCAGGTATTTTTTAATAGGAAAACATCTGTGATGAGGCATATTTGACAATTTCTTGCAACTTGGACTAATGGATTCAGGGTTCTCCCCAGGCCTTTATAGCGTATCGGCCCCGATACGCTATTTTTTTTGCCGATACGCTTCTTTTTTTGCCGATACGCTTCTTTGAACTCCGATACCCTTTAAGAGTGTGTGTGTGACCAATGCCTTTAATGCCTTTATTCCTGACAGTCGCGACGTAAACCGTAAAAACGACTGTGTGCGTACTTGGATCTCTTGTGTGCGCGTTAAAGGGGCCCGCACACGGTGAGCATTTGGCGCGCGCCACTTGCGCTGCGCCGTTTTCTCATCGTGTGCGGGGGTATTTTGGTGAGATTTTTGCCTCACGCGCGGCTGAGCAAAATTTCTCACGTGTTTGATTTTTTTGGTCTCTTGAGACAAATGTCTCACCGTGTGCGGGGTGCAAGCGCCGATTGCTCACGCCATGCTAACAATGCGCATGTGCCAGTAGCCGGAAACAAACAAAAATGGCAGCCCCCAGCGAAGTTAACAAAAATGTACACAGTTATAGTTAGTCTGATTGATTAATGTGGTCACCATTATCCATTACTATCAGAAAAAACAACAATATGTAATGTTTCCTTAAACACATGATCCCACAGTTCACAGTGCGTCCGCTAGGGGCGGGCCGGGAGGCATCTCTGCTGAGCAAAGAGCGCATCGTTTGCGGGGAGCTGAGAAGCGCGAGCATCTGGCGCAGCGCAAGTGGCGCGCGCCGAATGCTCACCGTGTGCGGGCCCCTTAAGTTGTTTATTTTTGTTCTGCCTGGCGCAGTAATACAAGTATAAAATCTTATGTTGAGGGCGCGGGACCTGCGTACTGACAAGTTTCGAATATCAACATCCGCTTATTAGTTTTGTCATCAATGTAATTCTGTGAGATTTGTTTGCTTTATCTATATTTTTGGAGAAATATAATAAATAGTTAATCCTTCATGTTATTTTGACTGAAGAATAGTAGCAGTCGTGATCATTTATAAATAAATGTATCCATGCGGCAAGAGAAAATGTCGGAAAAGATGCAACCCTATTTAATACATTAGCGCCTGTCCGGGACAGGTAAAAATTCAGCTCGGACAGGTGAAGTTGCAGGGTTGGCTGTCCGACAGACAGGTCATGGTTTATGAGAAATTTGGAGCAAAAATCTTTTAAAAAATCATTTTTAATGCATACTAACGTCTTTTTGTCTCCTCCTACACGGTACTGAAAAGAATGACCTACTTTTGGCACAAAACACGTGCAGTCACAAAACGAAGTCTGAGCAAACTTACCGCCAAGTTATGAAAGTGAACACCCTCCAGAACTTCATCAGACGAAATTTATTCACATAACAGGCTCACTACTGAATATTTATTTGGTTAAAAATCTACGTGNTCCCCGGACTCCCCCCCCCCCCTCTCCCTTTGTGCCTCGCTTCGCGAGCTTCGGTACTCTCGCGTAAAAAAAATAAGGGCTATTTTCAAATCCTGGGGAGAACCCTGGGATTTCATCTCTATCTGTTCAAGGCCACCTACATATAGCATAAAACCCATCCTTGAGGCAAAGATACATCCTTATCTTGTGATAACTTCAGGAAGGAATTGGACATTAAAAAGAGCCCCACCCCTTGTTGTGACTTTGCTGCTCTCCACCTGAGAAACAAGCGCACTTACAGTTCCCCTGGCCAAGTTGGTTTTAATTGGAAACTTGTTTTGCTCTAATTTATTTATCTATTTTTTTTTTTTTTTATTTGTAATTACTGTATAAAATTATATTACTGTATAAAATATCATTTGTTTATTTGATGTTTTATTACCTTAGCCAAGGTGGTTACTGGTATGTTTTTGTTTTTATTGGTTAGTTCATAGGGGTTCAGAACTCCATTCTAAAAACATTTAAACCAAAATGACGGCAAGGGATTGTAGTCTGTACACTCGTGGTCAACTATGCCAATTTTCATGATAAAATCTTGTTCAGGGATGATGTTATGCTCCATAACGGTTGCTATCTCACCTCGGAAAAGAAAGGTGTAAAATTGATGATTAAAGCTTTGAGTTGCCTATGCTTAAACAGTGTAACGATACATAAAAATGTCGCTATTTTTGAAGGGATCTTTATTGTTTTAAAATACCACAAAGATGGATGCATTATTGAGTAATTACTTGCAGGAAAAACCTGATTTTTGGTATCTGGACGATAATAAGGGCTTTCAATGCCTTTAAAAAGATGGATGCCAGATTGCTGTCACCATTGTTGTTGTTATTGTTGCATTAGACATGATACCTCTTCAGACCCCATATCCTTATGACACCTGTCACACATAACGTATCATCTCTTGCTGGCAGAGTCAGGCTATACCTGAGTAGAAGATAATACCTTCTTGTCTTGGTTAAACGTTAGAGGGATAAGTTTGCATGTGCTGACCCCAAATAGTAAGCATCGTTACATCATATGTATTTGTCATGGCTTAAGATAACAGCATACAATATGGGTCCACCTGTAAACAGTAAGGAAGGGTGGAAGTCCAACACTCCCCTATCAGCAAACTTTCGGGTTTCTTGCCATTTTACAACTCCTTCAGCACTTCACTCACCAAGTTTGGCTTGTCCTTTCTTTCTTACATTCTGTTCAGGCAGCTAGGTCTGTAAGCAGGGTTCTTTTTCTGAAAAAGTAAATCTCCCCCACTCCCCCCCCCCCTCCTTCGTTGTCCCAATTTGAGAAAAGGCAAAAACCAAGGTCTAATTTTGATTCAGAGTGGACCCTTTCAGACCCCCCTTGCGTATTTTCCCATGTTCCAGATTTGTCTCTTTGCAAAAAAAAAAAAAAGAAAAGAAAGAAAGAAAAGCAGATCATACTAGTGCGTGGATATCAACATTTCAAAACCAACATGCATGCATAGCATGATTTCCACCCTAGAGCAAACACAAAGCTATGTGTTGTCTGGAGAAATGTTGCGTGTTGTGACTTCTCTCTTATTAGACAGCTAGCTCCATAGCATGCTTTCTTGATGGGAGATATTGACAGTCTACTCTCTGTCTTGATGACAGTTTTTCCTGTATTCTAAAGTTACTAATAGCTGCAGTGTTGATAGATGGTGGAAGACTCCAATAGGTGTAATAGCCAAATGGATTGTAAACAGTTTTACGTCTCTCATAGAAGATTCTTTTAGTTTGTAAGGAATTCATGAAGGTTTGCGTAAACAGCATTTTATTTGTTATCTTTTTTTTTTTTTATGCGTCATAACTGAAATGAAGGTCCCTTTTATCCCTATATAAAGTTCCTGTAGTATTTTAATGCACCATGCAGTCTCTAAAAGTTAAAGGTTCTCTGCGATGTTATGCAGTGAATTTTTTATAATGGACAACTTGGTTTGATACAGAAAACAGAACTTTCATGCTGGTGCTGTGGATTATGCTTTGTCACTTTACATCGAGCACTGCTTCCTCATCACAAAAGTTTTACATGGAAGTATTTTTTATTTTTATTTTTATTTTATTTTATTTATTTATTTTTATTTATTTATTTATTTATTTTTGTTACATACTGTTCATTTTACCACCATGAAGTACTCGATTTGATCCCAAGTCATTTCTGAACGTGTAAACTTTCCTTTATGCTCTGCTTGCATGTCAGGCATTGTATAATAGCTGCTCCGACTGCACATGGCATATTTAATTGATCATGTGAACTTAAAGGGCTTCTCACATGCCTACAGACTCTGTGAAGCGAACATCCCACCTGTGACACCCGAGAGAAATACCTATGACAGAAGTCATAGAAATACCTGTGTGAGGAATCTGTTCACCTCGTGAAACTATATGCTGGAGTTTATGTATATGGTTTAGAATTTACCTGTAAATTTACCTGGGTGTGTTTGGTTGACCTGGTGAGTCCACAAGGAATTTATCTAGAGAAGTAATTTGTTTTGATTTTTATCTCAAGAGAGTTTGAATGTTAGCATTAACATATC